ATCCAACTAAACTATTTTAATTTGAACATTAACATGACCTTCACGTTCGACACAAATAGCTTCTGCAAGCACTTCTCCCTCTGTGGTCGGCTGACCTTCATCACACCGCATCGTATTGTCAGTCAGCTCAGCTCTCCTGAGCATCAGGCTATATATTTAGCAATTATTTGTGCACAGTACATTTGAAATTAGACCTCAAGGATCGCAACAGTTAATGGTTGCTTGAGTCTTTCAACTCAATTGCATAGCCTTAGTAATTCAGTAAACTGACTGCATCATTTATTTAATGTGAGGAATGCTATTCATGTGAACTTCGAGTGCATCGACCTTGGCTCCAAAAGGCTTCTCCTGTGTCGCAGATATAATGCTGCAATAAAATGTTATCTTTTGACAATCTTGATTATAGTGATGCATTACATTGATTTTTACGTTTTACTTTGCACTTTTATGAGCCAAAGGTTTGAACTAAAGTTTATTATACTATTCTTAATCTTCTTCCTTCGGGCTTCAGTGTCACTGAAGAAAAACACTTAATCTCTTTTGTGCATTTTATTTACATAATAGAAACCTAACTTGATATTACTCTCAAGAAAATGATATCAATTATATGAGAGCTCATCCTATTTTGTATTTTTAAAGTGTATTGTGAGTATTTAGGAGATGCATCAACATGCATCCTTTTGCTTTGTCACTTGAAATGTATCACCGGTACCTCCCATTCCTCTTTATCATCTTTGCAATCATTCAACACCTTGATTGGAGTCCATCTGTGGTAAATTCAAATTCATGGTTTGGAAAGGCACACACATGGCTATAAGGTTTAATAGCTGACAGTTATATCACACCAACAATTCAGATAGAAGGTCAGACGACCTGCTGAACTGACACAGCTTTGTGTTGAGATCTGTGAAAGGTTACCACAAACTTTTCTGCTGGATTGACGGTTCACAGGAGCCCATTGGCCTCCATATATTTTAAATGGAAAAGGTTGGAAACAATCAGGAATCTTCTTGAAGCTGGCCGACCTCCAAACTGAGCCATCAGGAGCGGTCCAGAGGTCCTGTGGAGATGCAACATACACTGGTCGGATGAAACCAGGATTGAACTGTTTGCCATCAACTGTAAGCATCATGATCTGAAGGTATTTTTCAAAAGCAGGGACTGAGGTGATTCCTTCAATACATGCATGGTCCTGAGGTCAGAGAGGCTGTATTGCTGCTTAAGGAGTTTCAACTAAATACTCAGTTAAGCATCTTAACACTCAGGTAAATGTGATGTAACAATTGAACTCTTGAATTCTGTTTTCACTTTTTCATTATCAGATATAGGTAGATTGTTGAGGGAAACACATCATTAAAACAATTTAAGCACAAGACTGCCACATAACAAAATGTGAAAAAGAGGAGGGGTCTCCATACTTTCTGAATGCAATGTATATCCTGAGAAGCTGCTGCAGACAACATTATGTATGCAAGCTAATTTGTTCTAATAACAGATAAACCCACTTAGGATCTGCATTATGGAAATGATAATCCTTTTTTAAAAGCGTTATTGCCTTAAGTGATTGGAAACATTGTCTAATTAACATTTCATTGTTTTTATGCTATAATTGATTCATAGTGTTGAGGGTAACCCTTCCTGATAGCATTATAAATCAAGCATTAGAAGGCTGGAGTGCTGGCCTCGGGCAGAGAGGCAAGCCATTTATTTTTAGCTGAGGTAATGACTGGTGAAATGCAGTTTAGTATCCACACAAAGAAGGCTGGGGGCAAACAATCCTCAGTGCAGTGCTGATGTGCTGCTTGCCTCTGGCGCTGGTACACTTCAGAACATCATATCCACTGTCCGCCTTTCATGCAGTTATCAACCATCAGAGCATGAATTGTCACAACAAGCCTTTATTAGGCTGCATCAGAGTCACGGCTAATTTTTTTGGGGGACGTATAACTCATGGAGTCCTGACAGGCAGCAGTTTCTGCTCCACTTCACTCCACCCCAGCCTGAAATATATAAAACTGTAAATACATTAATGTTACGTAATCCCGCAGGTGCTCTCTGAGGACTCTTCAATCACTGAAAACTATATCTTCAAGTAACACATGTGCCAGTGAAGCTGCATTTGTCTATCTTTAGAATAATTATATGATAAAGTCATTCAAAGACTGCTGCATTTGTTTATTACACTGCTCGACGATAGAGGGATTGATAGCAAATGAACCAACTAAACAGATCCCATTAGTGCAATCTGCAGCCAATGCCAGATTGCAGAATGTAACTGAATCGACATAATGCATCATATTCTGTCAACTCAGATCGTTGTTGTTTACGAGCTCCCTTGGAAATAACAAAAACAACAAAAAAAAGAAGAGTATCATTTTAATTTAAATCAACATTTTTTCCTTTTACATGTGGATGTACAAATGTATATCAGTAGCACGATGATACATCATTTACAGAGCTTCCTTTTCCTTTGTTTGTAAGGCAACATAGGTGGTTCAACACATACCATTAAATCAGTCGAATGTATTCATGTACAGTTATAAGTTAACAAATCTGACATCACACTGCATTGATTACATTTCATCATGTACAATAAATGGTGTCAAAATAAAGTCAACACGATTTGGTTTACAAAGTGCAATGGCAACAATAGAAACATGTAGATAATAAAAATGCAGGATGCTGGTAAACATGGTTAATCTCTTTGGCGAGTTGGAATAATTGATGTGTTTTCTTTAGTACTCTATTAAAATATTAGACTATGTATTTGTTTTGCTTACATAATATCATGAAAGGGTTTGCCGTGTTACAGCTGAATGATACTGGAAACAGGACTACAGAAATAGTTACAATAAAATATTTACATTAAATGATTAACAATTGATATCAGTCCAGTTGAGCAGCATAACAACAACAACAACAACAACAAATTCTGCTGTAATGTATACAAAAATACAAAAAATTAAATATGAAATGTACATTTGACTACAATGTTATGTTTGATGCAATACCTCCAAACGCTTAACATCAACAGTAAATCCAGTGCATTTTATCCCGAAAGTATCACATAATTACATAAATATGAATAAACCAATAAATAAATATTAACCTGAAATAAAATAAAACAATGAATTGTAATATTAGATAAGAGTTAGATAAGAAGAAACCATTTTCGGAGTGGTTTGTCATTTAACTCTTAGCTTTACAGTGAATAAGTGTATCACCAAACCTATCAAAATAACTCTTTAAACATTCTTACTGTACCAGCTGACAGAAATACTTCTACTGCATGTAAAGCAGGTCATATAGGGGACACACAAAGGAGCATCTGCATTTAAACGTAAGCTAGCAGCATCATTCTTTGATTGTTCATAAACCTTCGTATTTCTGGAGTTTGACTTTGCAGATAGATGAGTGTTCCCATTATTGTGAGCAGCCTGAGCAGATGTAGGAGTTAGCATCACAGGCAAGTGTTTGGTGCTCATTTCATCAAGCTCTGAAACCAGCAGCTTAGTAGTGACACTGATTACTAGAAAGCCACAAGGATTTCATAAAGCCAAAAGAATGTAATCTGCTCCCTCTGTGCCTGCATGACGAATCCAAGCATGTCACACATACACATTACATAAATGACCATCCAATCAATCCAAATCCATCAGCCTCAAACACGCATGGTGGTGACTCATTTCATTGCTAATTATGTTCACACCTTCCTGCTCTGAGGAGAAACAATAGAGGGTGAAAGAAAATAGCTGGAAAAGAGAAGAAGCTGAACACAATGTTTACAACAATACAAGACAAACACATCAACACTGTATGCAAGATCAGACTTTAAGGAGAGGACTAGGGCTGTGCAATTAATCGTATTTTAATCGCAATTACGATTTTGGCCTGCCACAATTACGAAAACAACATAATCGGAAAAAACAATTATTTTGTTTTGCTTGCTGGTGACAGTGCACTGCAACATATTTGATCTAATTAATTTTGGTCTAATTTATTTGTATTTATCATATTTATATATGTTTAGTAGCTTGTGGAAGTGCGCTCCAAAATATTTGTTGATCTTGTTTATTGGTATTTATTATTTTGATATTATTTATTTAAATGTAAATATAAATGTATCTTATTTTTGTATTGGTTTTTCAGTTGAATTATACGTTCAGGGTAATCAACAGTTAAAAAGATACTTTTCAAATTATTATTTGTATTTGTTTTAAAGTTCAATATATAGATTTTTTCAAAGTCAATGAATAATCGTATTTAATAATCGTGATATCAATTATTGACCCAAATAATCGTGATTATGATTTTTGCCATAATCGCACAGCCCTAGAGAGGACTTCATTTGAATGGCTTGTTTGTATAAAATGATCATCCCGCATTGATCAAAAAGAGAGAGCAGTGCCTATTTTGAATGAAATGCCTTCCTTTCATAGTTTTAGAAACATTGTTCATCTATTCTTCCCCCAAGCCTCAAAAGGAGCAGTTAACTCAAGGAGCATATTGATATTCATCTCTCTAAAGAAGACTTGCAATAATGTTTGAGCGATGCACCTCTCCGACTTGGTAACAATGGAGCAGATGCCAACAAGTGCATGAGCTGCTGAAGTATCCTGCTGCAAATCCTCTAAGATGATCTTGCTCCTCTCACAACCACTAAGCAGTGAGATGACAGTGAAAACAATCTACAATAAGACTTGCTGTGATGTGACAGTTACATGAAGCCATTGTTTAAATACTTTCCAGAAAGGCTTTAACCCTGTACCTGTAACATGTACAATTTGTTAGTGGAGATACATCTCCATGTACTATTGAAGTATACTTTTAGATTAATTGATGTTACCATTCAAGAGACATTGACTGGCTCTTCAGTCAAACTGCGACCTTGTCGGAGGAAAAAGTCTGTTCTGTAAATCACATCAATGTTTGTACTCGACACAAAGATCAATGATATGTGTCAATTTGCGAACTTCTGTATATAATGTATGTATGTGCTATTTTAGGTGCATAAGCATACCAATGAAAAGCAAAGTAGTGGTTTACTCATAACGTTCAAAAATAAACGCTGGACACTCGTAATGAAAGTAGCAGTCGCAATTGCGGTTGCTTTGGTCAAGACGGTACTATACAAATAAAATATATACATGTGTTTTTTTTTCTATATTTAATACATGTAACACTATACTACAGTTGAAAAGTAGCCACCATGATTGTATTGGGTTAACTAACAGAGGCGATAGTCGCTCCCAGTGAGAGCACAGCAGCCGTGTTCAGTTTGAGACAACGCTACTGTACATGGATGAAATTCACAAACTGCGCAAATGTTCACATTGCACGACATGGCAGTGTACTGAGGAGAGTATTTGAATTGAGACACAGCATGAGTTGGTTCCCTTAGATGTTGTTGTGGAGATGATGTGCTGGTCACACAGCGGTGGTCTGTTTGATGCTGTGGAAGCTGATCCGGGTCGGAGACGTGGGGATGGACATGGCTCGTGCCACTCGCACTCGGAGGGCATGGTTGTCCTGCCAACGGTGCCATCGCTTCCTTACAGCAGAACGTACCTGAAATGTTGAGGATGAACATAATGTATTTTAAAATGATTATGAATAAGCTGTCGCGTATATTCATTAAATAATTATTATAACATGACACCTTGAACAAGTGGTCTTAATAAGCAATACAACTGTTTATTGAATATGGAGTTAAAACCAGGAGAAAGATGCTGTTAGCTTAGCATAGAGACCATCCACAGTTAAAAAAAACACATTACATCTCATTTGTTTAACCTGTACAAAATGTGTAAAGAAACAAGCTGTGACAGAGCTAGGCTAACTCCTTTCCCGTGTTTCAAGCTAACCGTTGCTCACCGTAACTGTTTAACGAAATAAATATGAACGTTTTATCAGTGTCAGTGTCAGGGGCGTCGCCTGGACCTGAAAACATTCGGGGCTTAGCCCACAGTGGCGGCGGCACTACAGTGGCATTTTTTACTGCAACACTCCCCACACGCACACACAGTACACCCGCGACTGTTACAATGAAGGCTCGATAATCAGCTCACGGCATATAGGCAGGGGTAAAGTGGTATTTTTTATGAGTGGGGGGCTCACCTCCTCTAGGGGGGTCCGGGGGGATGCTCCCCCGGGAAGATTTTTTTTTAAATATTGAAGTTAAATGCATCAATCTGGTGCACTTTGAGAGCAAAATGAAGAGATCTATGGATACCTCTCTCAACATATGAAGCAGAACTGTAAACAGATGTACTTTTTCTTTATGGATATTTTACTAATCACTCCCCTTTTAAACTCTATTCTTGTTTTACTGCCATATAGTATTTCATAACTGTTTTTTCCTTTATTCTCTTATTTTTTTTATAACTATAATGATCATATGAAGGTGTGCCGCGGAAATAATCTTTTGAATAATTTGTGACCAAACCGTTTGAGACCCACTGAGATAACGTAGACTAAAGTTATGTATCTAAACACTCAGAGAGTCCTTTAGCTCACCTGAGTCTCTCAGTCTGAGAGGAGAGGACTCTCCTCCAGCTTCTTGTGGAACAAACAGCTCCTTATGTCCGTTAGTGCAGCTAGCTAACCAGAGGCTAACAACACGGTCCATGCTGGCACAGTCCCTCTCTCCCTCTCTCCCTCTCTCCCCCTCTCTCTCTCTCTATCACACTAAATGCGCTATTGCCACACACACACAGAGCCGAGCTTGAATGACACAAGCACACATTTATTTCCATGCAACTCTCTGATTGGTCTGGTGTCATGCCTCTGTTGCATTCACTGAACACGGGAAATTACAGTGCTGCCCTCCTCTCTTGTGTCATGATGAGGTTCACGTACGTAAAGCACGGTTAATGTATTATATTATTGAGGGAGAATTGTCCGGGGCTACAGAAAAAACATTCGGGGCTAAAGCCCCGGATGCCCAGGCCAGGCGACGCCACTGGTCAGTGTCAAACTATTCTTTTAGTGTTGAATTCAGAATCCAGACAGAGGGTATATAAAATCCTAATTTTGATCTTTCAAAGTAAGTAAAAGTTAAATATGTAGTATACGCTAACAATGATTCAACGTTTGAGTTCATGGAAATAACCATTTAAAAGGATCCGTCCGTAAATAATACAATACATTTAGAGGCATGCAACCCACTTTGCCCTTCCCCTACTCAAATCAGTCGTTGACAAGAAGAGAATATACTTAAAACAAAAACAAAACATTATTGTACGAGTGGGAGAAAATATAAATTCTTCACAATCCTTCATCAAATTAACAAACCCCTCGGCTTCCGAATTTCAATTATTCGACGCTTGTGAGAGCACAGCAGGAGGGTCCTTCATTTTCCACAATTACTGACAAATGTGTAATCTTCATTATTGCATTAATGACTTACATAAAGCTGGAAGATCAGCAATTTGCTTTCATACAATTATATGAAAATGAGAGACGTTATTATTTTTGGGTGTAATCAAAATGCGATAATTTCCCTATAGAGAAAAAAATCGCTCAGCTTTTTTTAAACAAAAGATACCTGATCCTACCTCGTGCTTGAACCAGCGGTTGTTACTAGGAGGGTAGCAGGATGTAAATTAAGCATGAACATCCTATTGGTGCTTTATTAAGATGATATATCAAGCAACACATCTTAATTGAATTCATACAAACTGAGTCTTTTGCAAAACTCCAATGACTCACCTCTCCGTTTAGAAAGCAGTAAAACACAGACACAAAGAACCCCTGCAGAAGAGACACATTCATATTAAAAGATGTGAATGCGGCTGTATTGTGTAACTAATTAGACATCAGATCATTTAGATGGTGCAATTAGAGAGAAGAAGCAAAAGAAAAGCCATATGCAACTTTGATTGTAGAGAAACTCTGCATGAAATCTGTTTTTCTTGGCCCACTCAGTCTTACATTTAAGCACATAAGATAGAAGGATTAAAAAAAAAAGGCCAAAGAGCAGACATCAAGCCCACATGGTTTTGTTAATCCTGTCAGCTGAGAGCCCTGAACATGAGGCAGCAGAACCATGCTGTGTATAAGCACAGGCAGAATGCTACTTCAAATCATCTTCCCACAAGAAAGCTCAAAAACTGAGAGAAATTATGAAATGATAAAAGGAAATGCATTAAGAATTCAGCATGACTCACATTGTGTGTGGGTTTTTTAAAGCGTTGGCCAGTGTCATACTGCATCATTATCCTTAGTCTTACCTGAAAAGACTGCAAAAAGGAGTTGAAATAAACGAAAACGATTTGTGAGATGTCGTCCTCCCCCGGATTTACAAAGAAGAGCATGTAGGTGATGCCCAGCAAGGGTAACAAGACCAGCGTTGCCTTCACGGCTTTTCTGTGAAGACAGGAATGGAAAATCAATCAACATTCATGAAAATACTATAATAAGAACCTGGATTTCATCCCAGTTGGTTTTGGAAAAAGGCATGAATCTGCGTCCGTTGTCCAACTGGCTGTGGAAATATAACAGTTCACAGCTTCGATTCTCAACATATCAATACATCGGAGATGAAGCCTACAGTGCAAGATGGGAACAGTATTGCATTGTATTATAGCACCGGTTTATAAGATGTAACTAGAGGTTGTAAATGGTTAGTTAATATTAATGCTTTATTTAAAATGGTTTCAGTGAAGGGCTTGCAGCTCTTTTCTCATGGGCAACTGTTTGAACTGTCCATTGGAGTTCTTTCTAATCAAAAATATTTGTATTGTGTTTCAAAAATGCATAAACAGTGTTTGTCATTTAGAGATGGAAAGCAAAATATATGCATACTCATGAGACAGTGGTCTGTACTGATTGTATGTACCCGCTGGTTATATTGTTAATGCATTTCTGTATAAGAGACAGCAGTTTGAAGAACCCATTATGTTTTATATTTAGGTTAACAAAGCTGGATGCTTCACGTCAGCATATCTGTTGCAGCACAACCATAAATCCAACTCCAGCCTGGAAAGCCTGAACTCAAGTTGTCTGAGCTTCGACACTACAAACACCGTCAAAATAATCCCCCCCCCCCCCCCCCCCCCCCCCCCCCCCCCCCGGGGAGAAAAACACAGTTGACAGAGTAATCAAAGGTGCAAAAAGGCTTGACACTTCCAAAGATTACTGGAGGGACCGAATGAAATGGCTCTCTTGCACAAAGTACTATAACTATGTTGTGCTTACTCAAGTCAATTTGGTTTTAGACACATTTGCATACACATACAAGCTTCAAGTATGAGGGTTTGTTAATGAAACATATACAAAATAAATGCTTTGAATGTGTTTTTGTGATTCATTGTTTTTAATTTACCATAATAATTGGAAGAATAGGCAATACTTAGCAGGAAAGAGATGCAGCAAAGCCCAAAAGAACAATATGATAAACACTATTACTGCACTGGGGGTGATTTGAATATTTTCTCATTAACCTTTGATTCACAAATGTATTCTCTCTGAAAGGATTTGAGTGAAACAAAATCAAAATTGTGAAAATAATTATGAAGGTTATATAAGTCTGTTTTCTAAATCCACTCCTTTGATGCCTTTGATCATCTCTTAACTACATGCTGTCAAAGCAAACAAAAGGAGAAATGTGATTTCTTTCAACTCACCTGTACTGTATCGTTTCAGACGTGGTTGAAGCCCTTAGTTTGGTCATAAGAATTCTTACTATGTTGAAGAGGAAAACAAAGTTTATCTAGAAAGAAAAAGAAGACAAAATAATTAGCCTTGAACCCTGTGCCACGGTAACCGTTCACAGTGAAAGAAAACTGAGAGCAATTTTCTCCAGCAAACATGTTCTGCTCATTAAATGCTGAGTAGAAGGAGGAGAGGGCAACACAAGTCAAAGCCCCCTCCTCTTTCAAAAACAGAGCACACAAATCAAAAGTGGTCGCTGAACTACAACATGCTGGACAGAACCATTAGTGGAGACATAACAAGAATACAATTAGATATTTTTAGAGTTATTATGCTTGAAATTGCCTGTACTATCAGGCAGATTATTCAACCATTCCAAGTTATGTATATTTCCAAGATTTCACTATAAAACCATTTTCATATTATTGTATTTTTCAGAACATCTTCAAGCAGGCATTAGTGAGACCTCTCATGAGAGTGTAAAGTGAGTGATGTACTGTACAAACACATTCTTCAGATAATGTGAAAATAACAGCAGTGGTTGTACAATGCAATGCCTTTCTGTGCCGAATCTCACCAAAAGCACAAGAATGACTGGTCCCTGGTAAATGTAGTCCATATACTTCCCAGGTTCTTTACCAAACCAACATCTGTGGACAGAAGAAGAAAATCAATAACAGAAAATTCAAGAAAACCCTAATAAAAAAATAGTGTGAGAAAACATATCGATTTTTCAATTAAACTTACTGTTCATTTTCGTAATACAACTTTCCTATAGCCCAGGCTATAATTATAGGGCATGGAATACCTAAATAAATCAAAAGACAACACAAACACAAAGAGACAATATTTTTCAACAACAAACCCTTAAAACATTGTGCAGCTGGATCAAAATGGAGAAAACTAGCAGACCAAATAAGAAGAGACATCCATTATGTTTTCTCTGTTGAATATGGAAAAAGGAACATTTATCTGAATAACACAGTGGAGTGGGAGCTTGTAATCTAAGAAGCTTTATCAAAGTCAATAATAGAACAAGTAATACATAAAACATATTGGGAAATACTTATGATAACATGAGAAAAGCTTTGTGACAAAAGGGATGCAAAAATAATTATTTAAATCGATTTAAATCATCTCAGAAACAGAACAGAGCATGTTGAATTATCCATCACACACACAGGTCTACCGCAGCTCTCTGATCTGAACATGAAACACATTTCAACACCGATCCGTCAAATCAGCAGGAGTTGTCTAGTAGCAGTGTTATGATTAAAGGAGAGGACTGCCTCATTCATGGCTCAGGGGATTTGATCTTATTAGGTTTGGCTTTTATTTTGGGTGCCATCCTCTCTTTTCAACAGACATTCAAAACTTTTCTTGTGCTATAACTTATCTGGTTTTATTGACTTCTCATTTCCCATACTAAAACACTTGCATTTACTGCATAAATCAACTTAATGTGGCTTGTAATTCAGAGCGTATGCTTATTTTACAAACTGTTTTGAGACTTTGCTGCATAACAAACGTTTTTGCTGCAGGTTAAAATGAAATTAAAAACAAAATTAAAGCCCTTTGAAATATCTCGCTGCCACTCTAAAGCACTCAGAGTGAATTTTAAGGACGGTCTGCTTCTTTTGAGCGAGCAAGTTATTCTTGACCTCTTCACCCTGCCTGTGAGCCAACAAGCTAATTTGGCTTCTAGTCAAATATCATTGGTGAGTGCAGAAATCCAGGATGATTTCTGCACTCCATAAAAGTTTTATAGACAAAGTGGATGAGAAGGGGGAATGAAGAGTGAAATGAACTTTAATGGAGCTGAAAGAGTACAAGTTGAAAGGTAACATCAGGGCCATGGTGCAAGACCCAATTCCATACGTTTCTTAATGAAGTGTTATTAACAATCCCTCAGGATTTATATTAGTGACACAATGGGAAATCTAATCTCTTTACTCGCTTGGGTTTTCGACAATGCAGTTGTACGAGTAATAAGACTAAAACATGTTGTCGAGAATTTAATTTGTAATCTTTTACCTGTATGTTTTTTTATGCACTGCCTGTTTATTACTTTAGACTGAGTTAATGAGTAATTATATAGAAAGTATTACCATGTGCTTTTAGCCGGTTTCTATTGCTGCTGCAACATGTGACCCCCCCCCCCCCCAGCAGCTGTAAGCATGCTATCATTTTAACAGAAATAACATTGTATGACAATCATTAACTACAGAAAAGACAGAAATATGATTTTTCATGATGTCATTTTCACTCAAACAACATCCTGTGGGTTATGTACTGTAGGTACTTATCTAAATTGTATTAAAAACAACAAAACAAGTTTAATGAACACCTGCAGGAGTGCTTACTGAATTTTATACTGATGAGTTTAATTTATTCAAAGACTAATCTGCTCAGATAATCTAATCATCGCGAGAAAAGCTGTCAGCTACTTCATATCTTAATCACATTAACTCATTAAAAGTAGATTGATAAGATGGATAGCTGCCTTTGGGTATTTCTATGTTCAAGTCAATTTTAGCTTTCCAATCATGTCATCCATGTGTCATTATCAATCATTTGTCATTTACTACTTTTCTATTTATTATTCCATTCCTGTATTCATAAATCTCTGTTGAATCATATGAGCTTGACCTAGATGCAGTTAAGTATATGAAGAGTTTCTTTCTGCCAGAACATACAATGTCCATTACATAAGCAGACAGAAAGGAAAAGTCAGACAGGCTCAGGGAAGCATACAAACATGTTTCTAAGATGTTTCTGCCTCAAGACGGATTATTCTGACACCATGCTTCTCTTAATAGTGTGGTTTAAGTCAAGGTGAGCATAGATAATGCATGTGTTCATGACAGGGCATCTGCCTCATCTCAAAACTCATTTTATCAGTGGAAGTCAAGCACAAAAGATTACATTTTGCACACTTCGCTGCAGCACTGCTCTGTTATGAAATTAAAGTATTATCTTGAGTCTGAAGCACTAAAAGGTTTCCATCCACTTCACTCGCTGACCAGAGTTAACTTGAAGTGTTGTCAGTCGGGCAAAGTTCCCTTTTTATTAGGGGTAAAAGGTCTTGTGAATATGTGGGTCAGCTGCTTAAGAACTTGGTTCCAAATTAAATCAGTACCGTTGTAATAAATACACGATATTGAAGTTGTTCATTATGGGAAGATATTTAAGCAGCTAGGATGTCAAAACTACTCATGCACATGTGCTGCTGGTGAAGACCATGATATAATTGAAAGCTCCACAGCAGCTA